ATAATTTTCTACCTTTTCCCACATATTGTTTCACTTAAACATGTAAACTATAAAAAAGTATTTATTGCTTAAAGAAAAAAGTTCTTAGTATTAAATACTAAGTAAAAAACACAATCCAAAATATTTTTTTATAATTACTTGTCAAATTAAAACAATATTCGATAACAAAAATACTTTTACTATAGGCGTTTTATTTTATGTTAAAAATAAATATTTATTAATTTGTATACCGATTTTTTATTTCTGAATTAACATTTTTATGTATAATAATCCTAACTATATTCAACTTCAATCTAATTTGACTTATCCCACAAAATTTTCCAATTTTACTTTTTATGAAATAATGTCATACAACTTATGGTTTAGAGGTCAAATTGTTTATTTAATATTTTTAAATAAATATATATTAATATGTCGCAAAATTTTTAAGGGGACGACAAATACATTTCACTGTCATATTATGACAGTGAGGCGTATTTGTCGCCTCCTGAAGAATTTTACGAATGTAGAATACAACATATTAGATCGTGAGTATCTGACATATTTGAAAATATTCTTAAAAGCTTCCTAGAAACTCCATAAGAAACCTTCTAAGAACATTCCAAAAACGTATTCTTAAAATGTTCTTAGGATGCTTTTTAGGAAGGTTTAAAGAAGCTTTAAAGAATCTAATTGCATCATTAAAATTGAATGTTTTAAAAGTCCCTAAGAACATTCTTAGCAATAAGGGAAGATTCTAAGAATATTCCATTATTCCGGGTCATATCTTCTTAGAAGATTCTTAAAATCAAATTTTGCTATCAGGGAAGCTCTTGAGTAGTAAACAATTTTTTTGTCCTTGGATGTATTTTTTATTTGTTTTTTTTGGTTTATAAAATATAATTAACATCGAAATTGTTAAACACATAAAAATGATCCCATAAACTAAGTGAAACAGTTTTAATTTCATATCAGTTTACGATATCAAATAGCAACTGTTACAGACTTAACTGTTTTCATAATAAAACACGATATATGTGTTTTAATTGTGCGTTTTACCAGCCATTCATATTGTTTATGGTTAACGATTAACACAATTTTTTAAATTAAGAATATGCAAAAAATAGAAAAGGAATTCATAAAGTTATTTAAATTAGTAATTATATAAATTGTTTATTGTTGTTGATAAAGAAATATTTGTCCTAGGCATACAATATCTATAAGAAAAAATATATTGTATGTACACCGAAAAAGCTATTCTATTTATATAATTTAAATTAATACTTATTTGAAGGATATTCGAATGCAAGAACTAACTAACCCTGTTAGCACACATGCTAAGAATGCTTTTTAAACCTTCCAGTGAGAATATTCTTAGGATCATGCTATATTTCTTCTAAAGAACATGCTTAAAAGACATATAGCATGATCCTAAGAATATTCTTACTGGCCTATAGGCAGGTTCTTAGAAGGTGCAAAGTTTTAGTGGTAAAAATTAGTCTACTCTAAACATATGCTTAGAATGTTAAGAAAGTAATTGCTATAGAAAGTTCATTTAGGAATATTCCTGTTAAGCATATTTAGTTCAGTTACCTATTTAATAGTCAAATATACCATAAACTACGTATAAAGGTATATGCCTATACTTAAGTACCTAATTAGTAATTATTATTAAATACTAACTAAAAAACACAATCCAAAATATTTTTTTATAGTTACTTGTCAAATTAAAACAATATTCGATAACAAAAATACTTTTACTATAGGTATTTTATTTTATGTTAAAAATAAATATTTATTAATTTGTATACCGATTTTTTATTTCCGAATTAACATTTTTATGTATAATAATCCTAACTATATTCAACTTTAATCTAATCTGACTTATCCCACAAAATTTTCCAATTTTACTTTTTTTGAAATAATGTCATACAACTTATGGTTTAGAGGTCAAATTGTTTATTTAATATTTTTAAATAAATATATATTAATATGTCGCAAAAAATTTTAAGGGGACGACAAATATATATGTATTTTACTGTCATATTATGACAGTGAGGCGTATTTGTAGAATACAACATATTAGAACGTGGGTATCTGACATATTTGGAAATATTCTCAAAAGCTTCCTAGAAACTCCATAAGAAACCTTCTAAGAACATTCCAAAAACGTATTCTTAAAATGTTCTTAGGATGCTTTTTAGGAAGGTTTTAAGAAGCTTTTAAGAATCTAATTGCATCATTAAAAGGGTATCTTGAATGTTTTAAAAGTCCCTAAGAACATTCTTAGCAGATTAGAAGATTCTTAAAATCAAATTTTGCTATCAGGGATATATATAAAAATTTATACCTATATTGAAAAGGAAAATAGAATGCGGTTTATGGGTATTATATTCAAAATATTTAAAGGAAATTAGGCAAATTACAATAAATTCCGATTTCATTTATTTTTTTTAAATTTATTTATGTTTTTAGCCTAAAAATTTTTATCGATAAATTTATGCTAATTTAATGTGTGATAATATTTAGATTTGTATGATAAAAAATACTTTTAAACCAAAAATGGGACACAATTGTTTTTCTGTTTTCGCCATTTTAACCAGAAGAAAAAATGCCACCAATTTGCTTAATTAACCGATTTTTTAGCTCTGATAATAACGAAGTTAGCAATTAATTTATTATTTTACAGATAACACCTATCTAATAAAATTTATCCTGTTACGGTACTTATAAGTTCTATACATCTAAGTAGGTAAATAGACACTCACCAATACAATAAATAATCCAGACAATTAGAAAAAAATGGTCGAGGAATCACATAAATCACAGAGTCTCACTGGGTTATAAGTACCAATGTTATAAAATCACTGAACAAATAATAACATTTTTAAAACACAGTAAGTACTTAAGCACAAAGATTAAATAAACGAGTACCACTGTTGGTACTAATTGAAAGCACGCGACAAGGCTTCTTGATCTCTTTTTAGAGCGAGTTCCTAGCACCTTCTTCTGTAACGAAACGTAGAAGACTGGCGGTATTGCAGCTAAGCATTTCTTCGTTCTTCTTTGCTTAGCAATCTCATGATGGTATTTTTTACCGACGCTTTGCAAAAGCCTACAAGACCGTTAGAATATTTTTAAGGAAATCTGTAAACATTATTTTGTCCACAATTATTACAATTGGCCTTAACAACATACTAATCAATGATATGAACTGTTTGAAAAAGTTACAGGCCCGGTCTGTATTCTCATAACAAAATATTTTTTAATTTTCTCCGAAAACTAATTCTTCATCTTCAATAAATTCTCTGGTTGAAAACACTAACAGTGAACTAATCTTCAACTAGTAAGCGAAGCATAATAAATACTAAAATGTGTATCGGAAATCTACAAGCAAATCGAGACCGAGAAGAATAATATTTAATACACCTGATCAAGAAAACTATAGGTACTTCTTCCACTATAAATTTTTTTCTTTATGCTAAAATATTGTTTTTTGCTGCTAATAATTTTTTGTCTTAATGTCTTTATTTATTTTGTATTTATTACTAACATCAGTGGGTCAACTGGTTTTGATTTTTTGGTTTGTGGAATGGATATTTCGTAAGTGGATCATAAAAATTTACAACAAAAAAATGCAAATAGCAGCCATTATTTTTAAATAATACTATATATTCTATTATTTATCTATTTAAATTTAAAAAAATTTCTAAAATTGCTTATATGGTATACCTATAGGTATATTGGAAATTTTTTAGTTCCTTGTTACCCAGTTAAAAAGTAACAATAGGTAACTATTAATAATATTTAGCTACTTAAGTGAAGCTTGCCTCAGTTGTTAACTAAATTGTTTATTCGAAAATTATGTTAATATAAAGATATATCATTTTATATATTAATTAGATTCTGTTTTTTTTTAAAACAAACTAAACCAGTTATACGAGGTGTGTTCAGAAAATATCGGGAATTTTCGTTTTTTGAAACAAACATTTATTTATTCGTCTACATTAATGTTGTCGCCTTCAAAATAGTCCCCATTGGATATTATGCACTTGTGCCAGCTCTTCTTCCAATACTCGAAACACTTCTAAAACTCGATCTTTGGGATAGCCTTTAGTTCTTTCAGCGATGCGCTTTTAATGTCGTCTATGCTTGCAAAACGACGGCCCTTTAAGGTTCTCTTTATTTTTGGGAATAGGAAAAAGTCAGACAGAGGCATGTCTGGCGAATATGGAGGCTGGGGCATCATTACAGTATTGTTTTTGGCCAAAAATGTTGTTCAAAATTTAACAAATTTTGCTGCCACGCGTTTCATACCCAAAACATTCGAAAAAATTTCATGGGATGAGCCAATCGATATGCCAACATCATCAGCGACTTATCTGATGGTTTATAACCATTTCTTCCACTTTTTCCATGTTTTTATCGGTTGTTAATGCGCTTGTGCGTTCGGGGCGTTCGTCATCTTCAACGTCTTCACGGCCATCTTGGAAACTCTTATACCACTTGTAAATTCTTGTTTTACTTATAGCAGACTCACTATAGGCCTTTGTTAACATTTCACAGAATTTATTTCATTTTTTAAGCAAAATTTGATACAAATTCTTTGATCCATTTCTTTTAACGAACGAAAAATCGCCGAGCTCATAAAACACGTCTAACCTTAGCGGCTGCCACAGACAAAGTAAACAATGAAAACAGCTAAAGTTTTTATCATACTTCGGGGGCATGTATACCAACATAATAAAGAAAATTTTATGACAACCGGACCCTCCGAACCCGCGAAATTTAACAATTCCCGTTATTTTCTGAACACACCTCGTACACAACACAATACTGAATTTTATATTAACAATTAAACATGTACTTACCACATGGTAAGTATATGCAATTAAAGTTGGTAAGCGCCATCTACACCCAAGCGTTCAAACTAAAGACTTCCAGTAAAGGTTTCTTTGTAATTGGAAATAATATTCAAGCAGATGTCACTGGTATCGACTATAATAATTTTAACTAAATTCGAAGACAAAAATCACGTTATTTTGTTTTTAGCTTTTTAAAATCAATCAATCATACTGACGTTTGAAAAAAAACTCTTTTTTAAATACCTTATTTATTTACAGATCATTCTTACAAGAGTTAAACAGTGTAAATGTAATACAAAAATAAAAAATTAATTTACAAAACTTAGATGCCTTTTAAAAGTCTATACATTTTGTATGGGTTAAACAAGGTGTGACATAATGGCACAAATAAAAATAAAAAATCGATTTAAAATATACAACAAAACAAAGTTATTTAAAAATACAATAATGAGTATAATAATAATAATATGATTAAGGGTTATTTTTTTTAATAATATAAAAATGTTATCCAAAAATAATCGTTTTCACAAAATATAAAATATTTGGTAATTATTTTTTAATTCAAACCTTATACCTTTTTAAATTACAAAATTAGTAATTAAAAATTTTTCAATTAAAACTTAATAATAATTAAAACATAAAATGATTTTGACTGATGATTTCATAAATTTGAGCAAATTAGTAAAATTTAAATAATTTACAAAATATTTACATGAGTATTGGAGAATATACAGGGTGTACAAAATGTACATTATATTTAAACACCCTGTAAGTATTATAGATAATATTGTCATTAAAACTATATAAAATATTCTATGGTTAAAAAAATCAGTATTATTTTTTGTATGTATATATATATTATTTTAGTTCTTATGTAGGTAATCTTATATACATTTTATCTATCTGACTATAATTATTATTACCTAGGTATATAAAATTACGTAATAAAATAATACAATCGCAAGTTTAAAATAAAAACTTGAATTGTTTTAATATTATATATATTTATATGTGTATATATATTTCAGTAAAAAAATCAGTATACTTTTATAACCTTATAAAAAAGTATATGAAATGTTTATTTTGTTTAAAAAAATATAATTGTGATGTATCTATGGCTGATGTTTAAGTGGTTTAACCATATCTGAAACAGAAAAAAAAATTGTATTTACAATGTTTTAAAAGTCTAAAACCTATCCTCCGTGACTGTTACTCTTTCTAGGTTAACCTATATGTTTTCAAATATCTGAGGTAGTAAAAGCATACTAAAAATATCAGTTCACTAAGTAAATTAAACACATCCAAAGCAATCGAATCAAATATAAAATATTATTAAAAATTAAAAGAAATAATTTTTATAACCATTTATGTAGGTGTTGCAAAAATTGATTCTATCCTCCGTGAATCTGTTTTTGCTTTAAATTTTATGGAACGGATGGCGCTTTAGTCATTTAGCTATTTAAAAACCTAACCACCGTGAAGTGAAGTGTAGATTTTTTTATAAATATTTTATGTATGAACAATTGTATTTTTTTTAAATATTAAGGTGTCAAAAGATACAATAACTTATTTCAAATATACATAGGGATGTTAAAAAAAACATACGAAATCCTAACCTCCGTGAATGTATGATTTCTTAAAACTCTTGCATTAGTGCAGAAGCACTTATGTTATGTAATTACTAGACCTGGTGGCTTCCCAAAAACCCCATTCTAGACTAACAGTGAAACAACCAAAAATAAAAAATAATTATTTTTACTTGGGGGACATCTATATATTCACCCATATACTAATTTATGATCAATTTTAGAAGTCCTTCATAATATTAACTTTTCTTAGGATTCTTCATAATAAACAATATTTTTTCCAATTTATATTATTTAAAATATTTCTTAATAGTATTTTTTATTTTTTTAAATATTTTATTATTATATTTAAAAAAATTAAATACAAAAGTTTTAATTGTTTCTGAGCATCGCAAATGCACAAAAATCATAGTACTATTGTCCTATATTGTACATTTACTGGCAAAACTTTTTCAAAGGTGAAGGGGCAATTCTTGGCTCTCTGGGTATATTTAAAAATATATATTTGACATTTAAATCTCAAAATTATGTCATTTTGATTCGAAATGTTGACCAATGAAATTTTTTATACAGTTTTTTCTGTATTTTTTGCTATTAGATGTGTTTGGCAAGTTTTATATCTGCTGTGGTGATGGAATAGGTGAATATTTTTTAGCTTAAACAATTAGTATTATTTTTTTTGTCAAAATGTACGAAGCCTTCAAGAATTTTTACGGTTGGCAATACTTCCAATACATCATACAAGGTGTATTTTTAGAGTTGTTTACCGCCAAAGAATCAATCCCAAAGTACATATTCATCGGGACAAAACACAACAATTTTTCATTCGAGATACAAGCAAAAAACGATGTGCATGTTGGACTGTTTACAGTACCAGAACCAATACCACCATGGTACGAAATCGTCATTGGATCTTTAAACAACACCCAGTCACTGATAAGGAAGGATAAAGTTGGGTTTGGCTCTGAAGTAGTGACATCGAACACCAGTGGGGTACTGGACTTGAAAAAGTGGAACAAATTTTGGGTGAGGTTCTCCAAAAATACCATTGCTTTGGGTATGCAGCAAGAAATTGACCCATTCATCTCCTGGAGGGATTGTAATGGCCTCCCAGGTATAAACTACATTGGGTTTCATCTTGGACCAGGTAATATATTTTACAATGATCTCATCCAGAGAATCATGATTTGGAAAAAACATTAGTCAACTTTGGAGTACATTTATTGGGGTTTATTTGGCAAATACAAAGGCAGGTTCAATTTGTATCTTTGATGGACTTATACAAAAGACCTATCTATTATCAAAGTCTTGAAAATCAAAATATCAGAGCTACATTCCCAAAAATCGAAATCACACTGTGAAGTTACCCAATCATCAAATACTCTCCAAAATTAATAGATGTAACTTGATATGGTTCTCTGGGGTAGATATTGCTGTTTGAGCTTGCATTTTTTAGATACCAATGGGACTTGGAAGATCAACATACCAATAAAAAAAGATCCAAAGAAGTCTAAATTATGGCTGTTTGGGTGATTAGTAACTGACGTAGTATTTCCTGAAATAAAAATGTTATTACATAATACGAAACGTACCTTTTTACCGACGATGTCCCCTCCCATTCATTTGTGGTGGGGCTGTAACTAGGACTGGAGCTCCAGGTCCCATTTGTCTTGACTCGTACATCCCTCTTGGTACTTCAGAGCGTTCCAATTCGTCACCAGAAAGATCTAAATCTTGAACCATCTGCATTATTTCTCTCTCCTTTTTTATGTCTTCTCTATCCTCTACATCATGTCCATTGGGTATGGGTGTGGCGAACTTCAAGTTGGCCAAACTGCCATAACTTCTACTCCTATGTTCCTGCCTGATGGAGTAGGAGAAAGCCCTTTCATTTAGATGACCTTTTTTCCTGTATATCCCAGTGTTAAAAGGACTCTCCTCGGATAAATTGGGGTCGTCTAGACCGTTCATACTTTGAGCCAACTTTTTGCTCAACTTTTTCTCCTGACTCTTCTCCCGTCGATTTTTCGTCTGCTGCTTCCCCTGAGACTCCAAGGTCGCGTAGTGCTGCATCAAGTAAGCTTCATGGGGAAAATTCACGGGTTGGTAGCTAGCCACGGGGCTAAGAGCCCTGTTGCTGGGCATGTAAATGGGCTCCTCCATCACGTGTTGCTTGTTTTTGTTTTTTTTGTTTTTCTGCAGCGTTGGGATCATCATGGGGGCCATTGGTGGTATGGGTACCATTGGTGGAGGTATGGGGCGAGCTGGTATCAACATTTTCCCTCTAGGTCTGTAGGAGAAAGTGTTCCCGTGTTGTTTGAAGAATTTGGGGTTTGGTAGTGTTCCCGGATGAGGCGCCATGATATAAATCGGTTGCTGATGTTGCATTTGCTGCATTTGGTGCATTTGGTGCATTTGGTGCATCTGAGGCATATGACGTTGTTGCTTCATCATTGTTCCAGACACACTGCTAGCTTTACCGTTCATTAGTGGATGATATAAGTCTTCTCTGAAAAAAAACCTATTCGTTGAAGAAATATTACATAAAATAGATAAACGCTCTTACCTTGAACTACCAAGAGATTTCCCCTTACTCTTCTTCTTTTTCTCTTTCATTGGTGGGGGTGGGACAGCCACAGGTTGCACTATCTGTCTAGGTCTAGAAGGCCTGCTTATTGTGGAAGTCGAATACACATCGTAAATACCATCCAAGTTGTCTTGGGAACCAGCCCACACCTAAGAAACAAAAACTCTTCTTAGGATTCTTCATAAAAAGGGCAATTCTGGGTAACTTACCTTGTGGTTGTCATCTCCATTGTAGATGCTTACGTCGTCTTTACCGTTTGTGTTTGCGTTACCATTACCATTACCATGTCCATTGATTTGTCCGTTTCCTATGGTATTTATGGTGATGGTGGAACCTGATTGTGACCGGGTCATTTTCCACTCATCAAGCTAACAAAAATAACACCTGTTAACCATGTTTGAATAATTTATTTACATTTCAATGATCATTTTAACACAATTGTTTGATGAAGTAAAAATCATCTTCAATTTTATCACCACTTAGCTTAAGTGGCACTCATCTGCAATGCTCATACAATGCATTTTCAATATTAGCAATCTCTCTGATGAAACAAATGAAGACCTACTTTATTTTAGCAACCTACTTATGTCATACGAGGCGCAGTCCAAAAGCTTGACCCGGCACTGACCAGGCCCGATTTTAAAAGACCTAAACTGTCTGTGGTATTGAATTCAATAACAATATTCAAATCCGTGACTCATGTTACATTACTTCATCATATTTTTTATTTTATCTCTTGATTTTACCTACACGATTATTTGCTTTCACTTAACATGTTTAATGAAACTTGTTTTATTATTATAAAAATACTTTTCGATTATTATAATTGACATTATCTACCAGGTGATTACGAAACACTTCTTTAATTATTACTGGTTTCACATGTGTAAATGTTGGTAACAGATCTTGGGGTTGAATAGGTTATATTGCCATGTACTTACCTTATCCTTATTGGTGATTCTTTCACTGGCTAAAGTTCCATATATACTTCCAGCACTATCAACTTGCTTAGCGTAGCTTGAATCTGCATAGGCATGAAAACAGCAGCGTACTAAAGCATTAGCTGCAACTTCCCTTTTGCAAATAAAAGCATGACACTCCAATACTTTAATTCCGGATGTGCGCCTCAAAATGGCGGCGAATAGAGGTGGGTGCGTTGGGTTGGGAGCTCGAGCGAATGGAGAGTCCAAGGGGAGAAATCTGGGCGAAGGACTATGCAGTGTATTTTTTTCAGGCACTAGAACATATCTGGAACAAAAATGTTTTTATAAAAATATAGTTATTTGAATTTGAAACGACCGCAATTTAAACTAATATTTATAGCTGGATGATTGGCTCAGAAGCATGCCCGAACTGATTTAGACTCACGATTGGCGTTAGCCTTGTTGTCTCGTTCTATTGCAATGCGATATCATAGTTGTCTCCTCTCGTATTAGCATACGCGAGGCAGGCACGCCTACATGCAAGGAAATAAGCAGGTGTTGTGGCAACACTGTTTAGATAAATTATACTTCACACTTTTTTCAAAATTCAATAATAAATGGTATTATTTTTCTTATAATAAATCGATTTAATCGAAATTATGTTTCTATTCTAAAATAAACATATTTTAACACTATCGCCATCTTGTAGCCATCACAGTAACCAATAAAATAAATACAGATTCCTTCTTTAGGTTTGTTTTGGTTATAAAATTCTGAACTGTTTAAATAACAAATCTGTGGTTATTTACGCAATATTTTGTTTATTCTTTTTCTACGAGTTTGTCTATTTTATGATTCTTTTGTAAGTGGTTTATTCTGTGGGTTTAGTTAAATGAACTTGATGATTCATTATGGATATTACGGTGAGAAATTGTAAAGTTTAAGTTGGGTTTAAAAAAATTTCTTCGCCTTTAAATGAAATGGGCCGCCACTGTTAACAGAATAAATTTCCTGGATCTGACGGTCAAAAACACATGTACCGCTACTGGAGGTGTGCGGCTAGCCTTACCTAAAGGTGACCATCGCCGAGCGACGTTGTCCAAGAATGTTGACTTTTAACCTTGAATTTACCGCTAATGGTGATAAAGACGCACTATGAGCCATTTATTAGTAAAACTGGATGGGTATTTTATAAAATATTTTATTGTTCCATCTTTAGTAAAAAAATTGCACTTTTCCCTTAATTTTTTTTTCATTGAATCTTGATTTGATTTTACGCCACATTTAACAACAATAAAACAGTAAAAGTTATTATATTCTACATAGCAGTAATAGCAATATATAATTGCAGCATTCTGCTATAAAATACGGGTAACATGGTTATTACTCTTAGAAATTAACTTTTAGTTTTCCTATAGTGTTGTGCTCAATTACATCAGCTTTATAATTGTTGCTGTAAATAATACGATTTCTTCCTTTTTATCATCAATTTTTTATTAGAAACAGTAGTTCCATATATTGAAAGGTTAATTACTTTTCATTTTAAATGTAACACCCAGTATGTTTACATTATCATATTATATTTTAAAAATATATGTAACAAAATACATTTAAAAAACGACGGAATGTGGCCTTATCATAATTTTTTGAACTACGATTTCTCATCTTAGAAAAATTCAGCATAACAAGTTGCATAATCGATAAAACTGGTTACTGACAAGATGCAGGTGATGTTTAAGTATATGGAATTTTTTACTATGTATATGTATCTTGTAAACTTATTAAATATGGTCAAAGATCTTAACTTAATTAGAATAAAACCAATTTAACAGAAACTATAATTTCCCACAGTTTGTTTTACTTACTTATACAGTAACTCAACAAAATTACATACAACTTTTTTTCCTTTACCTTACCTGAAGAACAAGTCGTTTGATTATGACAGGAAGTCTTACAGCCAGTGGCAGAACATTAAATAGTTAATTTTTGACGATTAATAATACATTTTTATAAGAACGAGGTTCGTTGTCTTATCGCGTTGAAGTCTCCCAATTAAAATCCTCAATATCTCAAAAAGTACTCAACATAAAACATTGCAATTTTAACACGACGTTATATGTACGTTAACCTAAATGTGTTCCAAATTTTACGCGTCTAACTTCATTATCTACGGAGATACAGGCAATCCAATTTATCTACTCAATAGAAGTTTTTTAGATGATTAATGTTGGTTTGGATTTGCATTTAACAGCTTTCTTCCGTTATTTTGTTAACTTAATCTTCAAAAAAATAATGAATCAGCTTTTTCCCACCATTGTTACCAAAATTATGTTTTTGTTGTTGCCTTAATGTGCATAAAACTGAGCAATAAATGGTAAATGCCTTAAAAGTGTTTCCTTAATTCTCTAGGGAGATTTTAAAAGTACATGTGGAAAATTAAAAAACGACCCTACATAAAAAAATCTAGAGGAGTCAAATCTGGACATCTTACCGGCCAATCTAGATAATTTAAAATATAAATTGGCAAATTTATATATTTATAAAGTAAGTAGGGCTTAAGGTATTTATTCTTAAGTCACAAAGCTACTTTCAATAAATACCAAAGTAATAATAAACGAGAAATATCTTCTGAAGAAATATTTTTGGTTCTTGTACCGAGAAATAGCTTGCTCTTGATTTAAGCTAATATTTTAATATACTTAAAATTGGCAAATCTTTAACCTACCTTACGGCTGCGCAGTAATGTAAACTTTCAATGGGGAAAAACCTGGTGATTTTTTTGTGATTTTCGTCGACGTTTTCCAGTAAAATACCATTTGACCACACGCTTAGCCAACTGTCTATACCACGGGCTCCAGTTGCACCTTGATCTGGATATAATTCCTTAAATAAAACAACAATGGATTTAAAAATGTTAAAGGTAAAAAAATATTATTTCATATCATACCTGTAATGGTTCCTGTATCCCCTGTAGACCATCTTTTGTTTGCTGGGGGACACTGGATCCCAAATACAACACTCTACATCTACAAATAGGTGTAGATTCTGAAGACATCTTAACTATTTCACCCTTAACTATTCTAACCTATTTTTTTTCTTGGTAATCTAATCTACTGTTTTTTATTGGGATCCTACATGTTTATTTGTTATTATTCCCTGAAAAAAAGGAAGAAGGAAATTATTTTATATGTATTCAATTAAAAAATATATTAAATTGATTCTTAATAATTTTATAATTATTTGAGTAGGTAACTAACGAACCAGGATATAAAGTATCTAATAATAATGTGAATGACATAGAATACCTATATTGAAAAGGAAATAATTTTCTATCTACTAATTCACCCAAGAAAGTTGGCAAAATAATCAGTTTTTAAACATGTTTCTTAGAAAATCGTATAGGAACCTTGAAAAACTTGTATTGATATCTGCCTAAATAGGCAGTGAAATTATTTTTTGACCTTGGCATAAACCAGCCATTTAAAGGTAATAACCCTGATAAGAACACATTGTTAAAAATGATTAACAAAAATACGATTGAATGGGGAATTTTGCTGACAGTCGAAATAGGCCACCAAGATCCCCGGACCTTACCCCGCTAGACAGTTATTATGTTTGTTCACTATAACTTCAGAAAATTATTTTATGATGAAACGAATATATTTAGGATTGTTAAACCTATTAATAAACATGAAAAACATTATGGAATTCACAATAACAATTTAAACGATTATAAAAATTAATTATAAAATTTGAAGGTTAAATACTTATGGGTTTTAGTTGAAAATGCAAAATTCAATATGTTTTTACATTAAAACTTGATAAACATTCTTAATTTGTAGCTTAAATTAAACAGATTTTCATCTAGTTGCATAAAGTAGCAGTGAAGAAAAAGAGCTGCTTTTTTCTAGGTAAATACTGTTTTTATGCGCAAGGCTTTTACTGCAAACAGCGCAATTTAAAAATAAATTTTTTATGAATTTTAATATTGATTTATTTTTTTTATTTTAGAAGTTCTTCATAACATATATAGTTACAATCACAAACAATTTTACAAAAGTTCTTAATGTTTAACAAAACATAATTTTTGATAGCCTTACATTTATTTGTAATATATAGGTCGTTCAAAAAAACTGATGGGACAATCACAATCTGGCACAGATTTTTGATGTAAACAAACACATTTCCTGGCTAAGAATCTCCCTTTTAAATCTATGCATATAGACATCATTGTGCATTGTTTCCGATTCAACTCATTGAATTTGCTGAAAACCTTTTAATATTCCTATAAAAAATTAACTGACCGAATAAACGTTATACCAAAACTGTTATAAATAAAATAAAAACAATTTTTGAAGAAAACCGTTATTAAACCAAAACACAAGTATTTTTTGCAACTGTTTAGAAATGAACGTGTGAAGTAAAGTCATAATTCTTTATATTTGTATACAGGGTGTTTGAATTTCTTGGTGAAGAATGTTTTGAAATTACATTAATAAATATTACAAAAAAGGCGTAATGACTTAATTACACATACAGTATATATACTCATATACATTTATAAAATAATGATAATAAGGCAATATTTATAATATGGTGATGGTGGAATTTATATGTTAAGGCAAGGAGTGGTTAAATCAATATTAATGACTACCATTGTCTTATGGTAAGTTTTTGTATTTTTTAAATTAAGAACGAAGAAATGCTGTTTCCCCTTATGTAGAGTACTAGCTTTAAACCCTTAATGTTCAATCCCTCAGCAATGGTATTTTTCGAAATTAACTTTCTTTTTTATTGAGTATTTGTTCATTTAAATGCTGATAGCAATGTTAAAAAAGGAGATTGCAATTCGTTGTCAATGCATTTTCTATAAATACCTGCAACTCACTTTAAAAGGTTATGCTAATAATTATTCAAATTAATTTGTTTTCTACTGAAGTCACATTAAGGAAGTGGATATGACTTTAAAATAAAATATACAGGTTATCATATATTTAGTTTGTCAAAACTTACTAAAAAATATAGGGTTAAAAAAGAAAAAGTTATGTACATTATTTTATAATGTTGACCTTCCTGCTATAGGTAACAGTTCTTTGTCCTTTGCAATTTTTACTATTGGTTATTGTATTGTTATTTTTAACCATTCTCTCTCTCACAACTATATCTTACACAGGGTGTTTAAATAGTTACTACAATATCCTATGGATTTGAAGCAAATAGTTGGTCAAAAAATATCTACATTTTTTTTGGATTATGTTGTTGTTTATTTTGGCAACACACTGTATATTTTTGCAGTATTAGAACAGTATTTTTGCTATAAAACTGTACTATATTTATACAGTTTGCTTAAGCAATACAAAAACGTTTTAGTTTCCAAAAATAACTAAAAATGTATAAGAAAAACAGCTACAAAAATAAAGTGTGGGTATGAGTACCTACAATGTATAGGACTAAAATACGTATGAAAATGATGTTTTATTTATGATGTAGATAATAGCTTTTTCTTTTTATTTACGTAACTCCACATTTTAAAAGATATTAAAGAGAAATTTTTGAAAATTTAAATTTTGCATAAAATAATTGAAATTGAAATTTAAAATTAGTGTGTATTTTATTCCAAATTTAAATTAACTTGAGTTTCATTATTGTTGTTTTTTTATTAAAATTCATGACTAAATCAAACTGATTAATATTTTGGGCTATGGCAAAGACAGTGTTGCCAAGTTTGGTAACTTTAAATGCTCAATACTTACAGAGAAAATTGCAGAAGAAATAATCCAAAAAACACCAAGAAATTCCTTAAGTATCACACACCTAAATTCCTAAGATCGCCACTACCACTTAAACACTTAATACAAACTCCGAATAATCGCACATATAACTTTGAAAGTCACTCGGTTGTCTTTAGAATCTAGAATGCACTTTTGGGGTACTTTTTTTGCGTGTTTTGAAGGTTTTTTGATTATTTTGGTGTGTTTTATATACTTCTTAAGAGATTTCAACGATCGACGACGTGTACAACTAGCGGCTTACTTGGGAAATGTACAGGTAGACTAAAGTATGGGGAATTCAGGTGGAAGGGGAAGTTAAATGCAAGGTAAGAATACCTGAGGTGATTTAGTAAGAGGTCTATAAACGTGTGACGTAGTTACTACAAAAACAACACATTTTACATGTATATTAGGGTGATTCATTTTCGCAAAGTTTTTGTTTTCTTCTGTGCTCAAGCAAAATATTAATCTGCATATAGAAAAAAAATTCTCAACAAGTTTGAGCTCTTAATATAAATTTTAAGTACTTACTACTAAGTTTTACCGTTTAAAATGCATGTAAAAAATATATTTTTTTTTTCAAATTTCTAATGCTTACCCACCTTTGACAATATTGCAAATCGGTTTAATACACCTTATGGAGAATTTCACGCTCTTTAATTGCTTTTGAGTTTTTTTTTGTAACTCGCATTGGTTCACCAGTAGGAGTCGTCAAAGGACAGTTTTTGAAAAAAAATCGTTTTTTTTTAAATTTTTTCTAACAAACCGCAAAAAGTAGGGAGAAAAAAAGGGCTGAATCATAAAAAAAAGTTATCCAACCAATATTTAATGAATTTACAGCCATTTTTATAACTGAAAACGTAAGAAATTGATAATTACCAACTCATAATGTTATTTAGATTGATTTTTTCTATTTATTATCATTATATTTCCCTACACTAATAAATTTTTTAAAATTATTGATTTCTCACTTATAATGAATATGAAAACAAGAAATAAATTCATAAAAAAACAATAAGAAAATTGTAACGTGGATTTTGCAATTTTTCAACATTTCTGTCATATAGCAAAAAAAATATAAATGAAGATTATTTAATTTTTTGAAGCGAAATTTGAAATATGTTACATAACCTTCTGTATATTTCGATTAAAGTTTTGTTGTTTTTTTATGAATTTATGTGTTGTTTTCATATTCATTATGAGTGAGAAATCATAATAATTTTAAAAAAGTTTCTTAGTGTAGGAAAATATAATGATAATAAATAGAAAAAAATCAATCTAAATAACATTATGGGTTGGTATTTATCAATTTCTTACGTTTTCAGTTATAAAAATGGCTGTAAATTCATTAAATATTGGTTGGATAACTTTTTTTTTATGAATCACCCTTTTTTCTCACTACTTTTGGCGATTTGCTCGAAAAAATAAAAAAAAAACAATTTTTTTTAAAAACTGTCCTTTGACGACTCCTACTGGTGAACCAATGCGAGTTACAAAAAAAAAACTCAAAAGCAATTTTAAAGAGCGGCCAATTCCCCATAAGGTATATTAAACCCATTTGCAATATTGTCAAAGGTGGGTAAGCATTAGAAATTAGAAAAAAAAAATATTTTTTACATGTATTTTAAACGGTAAAACTTTAAATTTAAATAGTAAGTGCTTAAAATTAGTGATGCAACGGTTTCGGGTTTTACGGTTACGGTTACGGTTACGGTTAGCTATACGGTTACGAATAAATTCACGGTTATTCAAAAAAAAATTACAGAATTACGAAAAATAAAGTTTTGAAATTAATACACACGTTCAGTAAAGGTTAAATAATAATTTATGTAAAACAAAAACAGAATTTCTAATAAAACTGTAAAACAATAGGAAATGAGTTACATTTTAAACCTAAAAACAGTTAAGTCAAACCTAAGTAGGTACCTGAATAATATATTTAAAAATATAAAAAAATTAAATGTTAATATTCAAAATTTACGAGTCAAATTTTTATTTAAAAAACATAACATCTGCAAATTCTGCAGAATCAGCCTGTTCCTATATGGTGTTTGCACAAGACCTGCAGTCGAAAACAACCTGAAATTCACTGACAATGGTTTGTATAATACCTTAGTGCCAACACTCTTAAACGCCGAAACGTGTAACACGTTTTCCAGAATGTAAACGGATTTGACTTAGGTGGTATATTTGGTAACGTTAATTACTCTTCAATCTTTTTTTTACATGCATTCACAAAGTAGCATGAAAAACCGTAAATACGGTTACGGTTAACGACATACGGTTACGGTTAACCGTATAATATCGAAAACCGTGAATTAACCGTAACCGTAACCGTAACCGTTGCAACACTACTTAAAATTAATATTAAGAGCTCAAACTTGGTGAGAATGTTTTTTCCTATATGCAGATTAATATTTTGCTTGAGCACCGAAAAAAAACAAAAACTTTGCGGAAATGAATCACATTGTATATCTTATGTCGATAATTTTTAATTAACCCTACAAAATTTGACATTTTAACGGTAACAATTTCTTGAAAGTTGTATACGTTTTTTTACAGCTTAATAGTCAAAATTTAGCTGTGAAAAAACGTATATAAAAAAAATAGTTGGCTGTGATTAGCTTGCAGAGACCTTCACAGTGATGTATCGCACGACACAACTTCAAATGTCAAAATTTGACATTTTGACAGTACGACGCCATTTTGAAAAATTTCAATTTTTTTTGCACTTCAAAAAGTCATATTTAATGAGTCGTTCAACATACTAAAATTTCCATTTTATTGGAGTTGTATAAGTTTTTTCACAACAAAATTTCTACTATCCTTACTGTACTTGATACTTAATATACGTAATATAATCACAGTACATATGGGGTTTAGTAGAAGGTAGAAAAATAGATTACAAGTTTTAAGAAATCATAATCAGATTAGAAGAGGTAATAATATCTATGAAAAACATTGCAATAGTAAATATAATATTCTTAGAAGCGTTAAGTTTATTTTTTCAGTAATAATTTAAAACAAGATCACCTGTGTAGTAGTCACCTTGGGTTTACAAGTCGAGATTCTTGGATATAGCATAATTGAAAATAAGGTAAGGTAAAACCTTTTGAAGCAAAGCATTTCTATATAGACACCTGTAAGTTGTGTGTGCAAATAAATTTATAAAAAATCTCGTTAAATATTCAAAATAAACATAGAATTGATAATAATACTAACAAATATTGAATGTTTACTAATTTCATTGGTTACAATAACGGTACACATGTTCAGAGTGGAACTGGTTGCTTTTAAATAAGTACTGTATGTAGCATGTTTAGTTTAAATCAATATTAGAGAGTCAAAACATAAAAAAACTCATTTATGTTTACTTCTGTGAGATAGATTTGTTTTTAATGAAATCGGGCAAAATTTTCCGAATACGGTACTGGTTGTTAAATAACTTGAATCAATAAGTGATTGCCTGAAGCTGTTGTGCCAATTTTTAAAAACTTTTACAGGTGTATGCTTGTGTATGGAGGTAGACGAAAATTTACAAGTCAGTCATTATTATATTTTTAATATTGTTAATCATATGATTGATTTGAAAAAAACATTTAATTAACGGTATAATTATGAATAAATACATATAATTTTGGAAAAACAATAGTAGAACCACAATTGTGAGTAGAACATTATTGTTTAATTTATTTGTGAATTTTTGCAAAAACATATTAAAGTATCGGCATACAAACACACATGCAAATGTATACTGTGTTGCATAACATCTATGTTTATATTTATTTTTCAAAGCCTATTATGGCCTTTATGAATAAATCACTTTTTTATATAATTGTTTTTATAATAAAACATATTACTTAGTTTTTGATTTGTTGAAACTAATTTGTTTAAAAGTGCATATTTCGAAAAAAACATGTATTTATTTTTGGCAACATTGTTTATTTGTTTTGCAATGACCAAAGATCACCATATGTTCTGTCTGTGTGTTATTTGGCAATACAAAAATTTCAAGCATTCAATTTTTTGACTGGTTAAATAAATACTTAATTCAAAATGGATGTTTTTAGTTTAATGCAAAATTATACTGAATTGTGGGCAGTAATAAAACAAACGTTGGAATCAAATAAGGTAGGTACTATAGTATATATGCATATATGCTCCAGTCTTTTAAAAATTTTAGATACATAACCTGAAAATTTCAGGTTATGTATCTGTCAAAGTATAGTCAACGAAAGAAATACAATTATATTTAGGCGTTAAAAATGTATAAATCTTTATAACATTACAATAACAATGGATGGTTTAAGAATTAAAGAATATAAATACTGCATTTAATGAAATTCTAAAGTGTATGGTGCCAAAAATGTAAAATTTTTGTGCATTTAGTCCAAATATCTGGTTTTCTCCATAAAATAATTTTAACTAAACTGTATTTATTAAAAAAAATCTAGCTTTTTCATTATGGAATAATGGAAAGAATATCTGTATTAAAGGTATGTTAATATATTATAACAAAAATATCATCTAATTTTGTAATTTTAAGGTTAAAAGACTGTATAATATGGTATTTAAAAATGTGGTAGTTTTTCTTATCCAGCTTAAAGTGTACCATCTTTGGTACCTTCATAAAGTTTTGTCAATACAAATAGTTAAAAAGCTTAGACTGAATTTGATCTAATCATTATAACTTTAATATTTTAGTAAATCACATGTCATGGGCCCATGGGAGTATTAAATATTTTCACATTGCAAGTTTCTCTAAAAATTGTTTGTTTTCTTATAATTTAACTTAAAGTAAGTATGCCGAGAGGTATGCACAAGTTTTGTCGTTAGAAGTATTAAAGCTTCAATTTAATTTGAACCATATTCAACAATTATTTAGTATACCTATATTTATTTATGATCATATTAACACACTCTTCCAAATAATCCACTTATTTATTTTGGTCAAAATAGATTTTTCTAACCTTAAAATATTGCACCTTACACTTTGGAATTTCATTAAATGCAGTATTTATATTCCTAAATTCTTAAACCAACCATTGTTATTGTGATACTATAAAGATTTATTAACTTTTAATGCTTAAACATAAGCGGTAAATATTATTTCTTTCATTGACTATACTTTGACAGATACATAACCTGAAAAGCTTTAAATGCCAAATTTTCAAAAGACTGCGTTCCGTACGTGGTCACGTGGTGGGACTTTGAGGTGTGGAGCATAGTACCTACTTAAAACAATTGAACATTGAATACAAATAATTAACGTTATCTATCTGTCATTTTTAAGCTAACTTTGTATTTTTTTCGAAAATGTATTTTTTGTGTCTTATCTTTATCGTTGAACTGACAGATAGATAACCTCAATTATTTGTATTCAAAGCATAATAATTTTATTAGAAATATTTTTTTAGGATCTATATAGATATTTTGGGATCTTTATAGACATTTTAATAATTGCATTCCTATTAAAATTACTTACTTACGTACTTAAAGCACTCACTAAAGAACTATTTCTTCAGTTAATGGAAATAGTAAGTATACTTTCTGAAGTATATACTTACATATTCAAGAAATATCAGCAAAAAGGTAAATTTAATTTTAGTATCGCTTTGGAAAACAATAGTTTATTATGCGACTGAGGGGGAAATCAATCAGTACTAAAATTGGTCCTCATACTCTCCTCCTTATAGGGGGAACAGGGGGTAACTTTAAAATTTCCAATGGAACATTTTTTATTGCAGAAATGTTTTAGACAAAATCTCCCTATTTTTAGTCGAATGATCCGAATCTGCAACAAAAATATTAAGAAAATATTTCCAATATTGGTCAAAAAATTCTTAAACAGATATTTATCAGATATTAGCGTATTATCTACAAAAAAATATCTTTTATAGGTTCCCTCGATATAATGGTAAAGATATTCCGGAAAAGATATCTAAATAATATCCTAGAATATTATTTATATCTCATTTAAAATGTCTTTAAAAATATACAGGCAACAAATATTTTATCTTTCGTCGGCCATTGCGAAGATATTTATTTTCATGACAAGTTGTCATGACAACTGTCAATCCACAGAACATCGGTTTTAACCTCAATGTTAACTAACTTCAATTTTATACTTTTAGGCGTGCTTTCAAACGAAACTATGAAACAGTTCACTGACGATCTCGTGAGAGAGAAAACATTCAACTGCCAGATTTGCGATGAACTTTGCACTTCCGATATTTTCCTGGTCAAAGGTAAAGGAAATGTGTGTGGAAAATGTTTTGAAGAAAAGTGCGGGGAGGAAATGAAATCGACGGCCGAATTAAATACTGCGCTCATCCTAATTATAGCCAGGCTGATATTACCATGCAAGTTTAAATCCAAGGGATGTCACAAGAGGGTGGCATCCAAAAGTTACACCAAGCACATTGGTGGTTGCGATTTCAGAACTAAATCTTGCCCCATGAAAGGTCTTAAAGGTTGCGAATGGAGTGGAAGCAGTTTTGAAGTAAGCCGGCATTTATTAAAAGCCCATGAAGAGCAAGTTATCAAAAGTGAAAACAACATTTTTAAAGTTGAAACGTCACTATCGAAACTCTTTAACGTGAAAATATTATCCCACGATTACCAGAACTGCCTGTTAAAGACTGCGATTGTCGATAACAAATTGTATTACGCTTTAAATCCACTTGAAAAGAACGAAGAAAATACGGAATATTCGGTGACCCACAAAAGTGTTGAAACACCGAATCATTCAGTGATAAAAACCGTTGGTATTCTCACTAAACTGAACGGTTTTTATGATGAAGAAAACCTGGAAAAAAACCCCAACGCGACTGTGGTAGACATCTACTCATTGAAAGATCTTGCAGATAAAGATAATATAATCTTGAACGAATTTAATTTAAACCCCAAAGGAATAGATGAGAATATGCTGAAGTTATTGGAATGTCCCATATGCATGAGCACAATGAGACCTCCAAATATATCAGTGCAGTCGTGGACATAGCATTTGCATCATATGCCGTGAAAAAGTAAGTGCATGTCCAACATGCAAAGGATTATGGAGCAATGTTAGAAACTACTTTATGGAAAATTTTACAACCCAAGTAAAATATCCCTGTAAGTTCAAAAAATCTGGGTGCAAAGAAATTGGAGTTGTAGATAAACTCAAGAAGCATGAGGAATTATGTTTGTTGAATAGAAATAGGAATGAATCCGGATCCAACAAAATGGACATTGAATTAAGGATGATTAAATATATGGGAGAGGGTTCTTTAATAGGTTGCAGATTTTATAACTTTGGTTGTGAAGAGAGGGGAGTTGTAGATGAAATATTAAAACATGAACAATCGTGTTTGTTTTATACTTCCGAATGCCCAATATGCTCAAAATTTGGGCTTAAAGAACATATACCAGAATATGAAACATTTCAACATAAAATAATTAATGATAAATATTATGAAATGATAGATTTTATATCAATCAAGCCAATTAAAATTTATATGATATTTGATTCAAAACTATTTAGAATATCGTATCATACTGAGTTTCCATCTGAGAGCTCATTCTATATCTATTTTGCTGTTGAATTGATTTGCTCTAATGAAGACCCCAATTCATATACTTATGAATTTACTTTTTCCAGTACTGATGCAAGAAGGCCTTTAATATTAAAATCAACTTGTATAAAAGAAAGGAGAAATGCGCCAGGACAGAAAATAAAAGGAATTGAAAAAATCCCTATTGACTTAGGTTACACTAGGTTTAATGTTTCAATCCAAAGGGCAAATTAATTTAATACAAATTTTAGTTATAAGTAGTTATACCTATATTTTATACGCTAAAGAAGTATCGGGTTTTCGCAACGCGCGCGCCATCTGGTGGACTTCGATAGCATTGCGTGAATTCAAGAATTGTCAACAATACATTTAAAACATACGAACTATACATCATTTTTAAATAAATAGGTAGTTTTTTCACAAAACAGAGGAAGGCAGAAGTCTTACTCGACAAATTTTGTTCAATTTCACAGCTAAATCGCGCACGTTATTTGTGTTTTACGTTGCAACGAAAAAACTAAAAAACTGGTTTAGTACTCGATTTCGTTTGATTATTCTAGACCAGGGTCGATAATTTTTGAAACCAAAAAAATAACAGTAGGATGAAACCCATTGGAAAAGGAGAAGAATATAATAAAAATGAAAGGAAAAATAAATTACGGGCGATCTGACTTCGGGAAGTGGGAGGGGGGGGTTTAAGGGTAAAAAATGGTTTATCTCGATTTCCGGCAAAACTACAAGTCCTATGGAAAAAAGTTAAATGGCAAAGTTGTAGGTAATAAAAGGATCTACAACTTTTGTAATTACAATTTTTTTACATAACCCCAAAATTTATGTGAAAAATTCAAAAAACCAAGTTTTTGGTTTTTTATTTTTATCTTTTTCAAAAAAAAATTTTTTTCCACGAAATTTGGTGAAAACTTACCTTTTTATGTTCCAAATACACTGTAATTTATTTGATTTGAAATATTTATTATTTCGCCTTATTTTGACTTAATATCAAAAAAGCACCCGAATTTTCAATCGAAAATTCTCGCGTCAAAATATCAGCTTTTTTCAAAAATTCGGTGTGCTTTTTGTTCGTTGAAATCTCTACTTTCTGATGGTGTAAAAAAAATATACATTACTATGGTAAATGTTCTCAGAAAATGCAAAAAATATTATAATGAATAACGAAAAAAACTCGAATTCGAAAATTTATTTTAATCATTATGTACAATTTCATCAAAAAAATGTGATTGTTGCAATTTTTTTTAGTTAAAAAGTTTATTTATTAAATTCTAATAACATTTATGTCAGAAAATCTCATAAAATATAAAAATACATGTAAATCATACTATTGAATTTAGATACTTCATTCTGATTACGTTATTCATTATAATATGTTTTGTATTTTCTGAGAACATTTACCATAGTAATGTATATTTTTTTTTACACCATCAGAAAGTAGAGAGTTCATCGAACAAAAAGCACACTGACTTTTTGAAAAAAGCTGATATTTTGACGCGAGAATTTTCGATTGAAAATTAGGGTGCTTTTTTGATATTAAGTCAAAATAAGGCGAAATAATAAATATTTCAAATCAAATAAATTACAGTGTATTTGGGACATAAAAAGGTAAGTTTTCACCAAATTTCGTGGAAAAAAATTTTTTTTTGAAAAAGATAAAAATAAAAAACCAAAAACTTGGTTTTTTGAATTTTTCACATAAATTTTGAGGTTATGTAAAAAAATTGTAAATACAAAAGTTGTAGATCTTTTTATTACGTACAACTTTGACATTTAACTTTTTTCCATAGGACTTGTAGTTTTGCCGGAAATCGAGATAAACCATTTTTTACCCTTAAAATCCCCCCCCTCCCACTTCCCGAACTCAGATCGCCCGTAATTTATTTTTCCTTTAATTTTTATTATATTCCCCTACTTTTCCAATGGGTTTCATCCTACTGTTATTTTTTTTCTCTTTTTACCATTTTTAAAGGCTTCTGCACTGGTCTATTCTTTCTATCATTGATTAAGAAACTCAACGCGTAAATGCTTATATAGTTCTGTTAGTGTGTGTATTTTATCAAAGGGATCATGGTGAATTATTGTGCTTTTAATTGTTAATAAAATTCAAGAACTAAATCGTTGCATTTTCATGTTTTGCCAAAGGATCCAATTCGGTAAGTACATTTGTTGGTGCAGAATTAACTAATGATAACTTTACCTAATATAATTTATATTTAAGTTTGGACATTTTTAAGAAATTAGTAAAAATACTTTTTGGGCAACCAACCATTTTTATATTTGAGTTCTTTAAAAACGCCGACAACTGCATTTTAAACAACAAAATATACCTACGAATTCATGTCAACATAATATTATATATGAGTACATTAGATGCACAACTCTGTATTTGCAGGAAAAGTGATTTTGAGAAAAACATGAAAAACCGCTCATAAGATCATTTTAGAAAAAAAAATGCAAAAATTGTATAGACGTGCTTTTGCATTATTTTTATTCAAAAATGTAAAAAAAAATCCTTTAAAATTAAGTATTTTAGTAAATAATTGTAATCAAAAGATTTAAAAACATAGTTTTGCATCTTCCTTGTTCAAAGATCAAGTTTTGCAAGTGAAAAGTGCAAATACCAAAAAATAACAATGCAAATACCAAAAAATGCAACAATGCAACTATGCAAATACCAAAAAATAACAATTTTCAGGTAATTGTTATGTCGTCACATAATGCGTATACTAGCGACGTGATTGGTCAACAACAAATACCGAGTTTTGCATCCGACAGGAAGAAACAAATACCCAGTTTTGCATATGCGTTAAGTTTTTAAATGTATTTTATTCTACAAATACTAACTTATACATCTGGTTTACTTAGGTATGCTGTAGGCAGTGCAGTAATGTACATAAATAGCATAAAATATATATTTTTAAAAATTTTCAAAACCGAGTTTTGCATCTAATGTAGGTGTATAATACATAATATAATGGTATTTGTAATATACGCGCCATCTACCGACGCGTATTTGGAGCAAATAAGTAATACCAACTGTTAGTTTTTAGTATTCACATGTTGTACATAACCTAAAACGAGAATACACGTTTTCATTTTTAAATCAAGACTTTTATTGCAAATTACACAATAGAAACACAACAGTATTTTACCGTTGAGTGGAGACTTTCTTAATCAACGCTTTTAATAATGCTAAATGCTGTTTAAATTTAGACGACTTATTTGATTGATAATTAATACTGAATTGAAATGTTTACACTTTTCACCTTAATCACTACTAAACTGTGTATTTATTGTATCTAATAGGTAGAATTTATATTTACAGAGACTGTATGCAATTTATTTCTTCATTCAGATTAACACCTTTTATTGGAAAACCAGTAAAAACTCAACCCAGGATTTCCTCTCGAAATACACCCAACAACACAACAAATCGACCCACGGTTTTTTTATGATATTGTTTTAAACATTTTCCGGCTTTATTCTAAAAAAAACTCGTTTGTAACATAAGCGTCTGACAGCTGATTATTAAAAGTTGTACTTTTGTTACGATGATAACGGCCGAGTGGTGGCGCTACTAGCGATACTTCTTTAGCGTATTCAACACCAATTTTATTTCTTAACTTTAACTGGTAGGCGAAATAGCATTTAAGTTAAAATTAGAAAAAAGTGTGCTTGACAGTTGTCAGGTGTCAGATAAATATCGAATAAAATTGGCTTTAAATTCCTGTAGTTAAATAAAATATTGTGTTCGAATATTAAAAAAAAAGATTCCACGCTCAATGAATCTCCTATTAATATCATAAGAAATTTTTATGTGTACTTGTTAAACTTAAATAAATATTTAATATTTTATTATTTAGTTTTTATTTGGTATATCAGAAACATTCCATGCATGTATAAATTAATCACTGCATGACTTTTTCTTACTTACAATTTTGTTGGGACTACAGTAAACTATAGTTTCTGAGATAAGTATATGGTTTACCCTGTATACATTACGTACTTATTAACTTTAAGAAATGGGATGAATATTTTGATAATTTTTTGTTATTTTCTTTTCAATAGCCCCAACCAAAGATAATACACCCCAACTACTAAAAATGTCCATTGAAAATAATAAAGTTCATTATCTCAGGAAAAACCAAACATTCTTTGTAAATTGTAATACTAGAAAATATATTTTTGTAAAGAAATTGATTGTTTAATAGTATTCAATTAATACATAATACAATTTTTAAATCGAGATAATAAATAAACAATACATGAAATTGTATACTGGGTTGTCTAACACTAAACATTTCAAAGCTTTCAGAAAACACCGTAGGCGGCCAGGATACAAGGATTCAAGATATCATGGTAGGCGGCATTCAGAGATAAACGCGGCATTGCTTGTATCAGTAAAAAGTTGTTTTTATAAGAAATAATAACATTTATTTCTTCTATTTCGATTTGTTGGCAGTGTTTAGTTACTCAGGTAGGTCTTTTAATTGTTTTTAAAGCTTGTACTTAGATATTTAGTAAAATACATAAATGTGCTTGTATACTGCACCATCAAAAAAAGCTTGTTTGTGGGTGTTTTTTTATAAAACTTAGGTTGATAACCATGTGCAGTTAAAGTAAAAGTTGAAAATGATATTCGAACAAATACGTATATTTTTAAACAAGAAAATTAAATATTTGAGCACCTGTTGAATTCATTAAAGGTGTGGTGGAATTTGGGGGATTCACTTGCACATAT